GGGAAGAAAAGACAAAAACATTCTCAGGTAAACAAAACCTGAAAGAATTTACCAACACCAGACCAGCTCTCCAAGAAGTTCTGAAGAGACTGCTATACCAGGAAAAGTAAAGTCAGACACACAGAAATAAGAGTACAAAAAACAACCAAGAAAATGGCCAGCCTAAAGGTAGGGGCAAGTCTGGAGTTGAATGTTAATTTCCAGAACTTAAACAGAAAGACCAGACCACAGTAACACTGCAAATTCAATAGAAGAAATATTAATTACATGAGACTGAACTGGTGAAATAGAATTTTATGACTTTTGACTAAAACATTACTGATTTTCTTCTATGCTTTGTTTCCAGATTTAAGACTTTTTGTCTTCTCTTGAACTGTTGATATTTTCATCTACCTACTGATTGAACTAAAACCTAACTTTTTTCCTGGCTTTACGTCTTAAGCAAATTTCTCTTACTATTTTTGAATTATATATATAAATATTATATATTATATATACTATATAATATATTGTATTTCTTATTACATTCAACCATTATGAATCTCTGGAGCACACAACATGCTTTTTTAAAGTATGTATGCAGTATGTGACAAGTGGATCAAGAATGTTATCATATATTGTATAGTATTCTCAACCGGACTGGTCTGAGAAGCATTTCATGTTTGGTAAAATCTTTTTACAAGTGTAATGATAGAGATTGAATGTTTAAAAAATAATTGAAATAATAATAATAATAATCTGGAAAAAATAATGAAAAGCTATTGGATGATGATGATGGGGATTTTAATGTCTTTGTATTGGCTGATATGCATGGTATTCCTTCTGAAAAAAAATGTAATACACTGTAAACTTACACGTGATTCAATGTAATATAAACAAATAATGATAATATTAAATAAATAAAAAGAATATTATCATATCATTTTCAACCTAGAACTTTACATTCTCAGAGCTTTTCATTCTCTCAGTGAGACTGCAGAAGCATGATTAGTTAAATCATTGGCTATTGTTGATTAACTCACCTTCTGGTCTGAGGTAGGGAGATGGAGCTTAAAGTTCCAACTCTGATCACAAGATTATTTTTCTTGGCAACCCAGCCCCCATTCTGACTTACTTAGGGACTTTCCAAAAATCACCTCACTAACATGAACTCAGGGGTGGTTGGAAGGTACTTACTATAAATTTTTAAAATAAGCTTTTTTTTTTTTCACATGAGGAAATTCCAAGGGTTTTAAGAACCTTTTTAGGAACCAGAGACAGAAACCAAATATTATCAGGAACCAGGGGCAGAGACTAAATATGTATTTCATACAATGTCACACAGGTGAAGTTCCCTGACCTGCCTCAGGTCTAGGCTAATGGACTGGATACACTGGGGTACTAGCTGGACTCAGAAATGGCCTGCAATGACGCCAGGCAGGCTCACCAAAGGCCAATGAATCTGGGCCCTCTGTGTGACCCTGGCAGTCACATCAAGAAGAAAAGGTATGTCCTCTGCTCTACCTAGCAGTGCACTCTCAGTACAGTTTACATACAAGGTCTAACAGGTGCCAGGTGGCAGAGAAGAATGTTTACAGAGTCCCTCTGTAGTGTCATAGAGCAGGACAGGATGAGGTTGATTTGAAACACAGAAGCATTCAAATGATAACAGGCACCATCCACATGTGATTACACACTTCCTACACTACACACATACTATACAGCATTTTACACATATTGAAACTTCCATATAACTGTATTTTCACCTATCAAAGCTACCCTTAAAAGTGCGGAACTCTCACCATTTCCCCAAAATAAGAAGACAGACAGTCCCAGTCATTATTGGAAGGATTTCCAATTCAGTCACAGGGACCAGCAGATGGTTAATGGTTATCTCACTGGACTCCCACATAGACCACAGTCAAAGCTCATGCCCGGTGTGTGTGCGTGCGTGCCCAGTATCTCGAGAAAAGAATGAAGGAGAAGGGATTGCAACATGGTCATCCCCCTTGGGGGGTGATTTCTCACTTTCTATCTCTCTGCCTCTCCAGCGAGGGGCGTCCTATAGCAAAAATCTCTCTAAAAAATTAACAATTCAGTCACAGTTACATTGTCTATACTATGCCCTAGAGACTATAATTATAAATCTATCTTTCAACAATTTATATATAAAATCACAAGTGTAAAAAGAGACCCAAAAAAATGGTTCATACAAATAAACGCATTCACTTGAGAAGTAAAAATGGCAAAAATGAAACAAGCAGCTATACAGTCCTTGTTTCTGTAATTAGTCACAAAGCCAGAACTGAAGTTTATGACTTTATTAACCTAAAAAAAATGATAAATAGAGGCTGAGGCAAAGTAAGTGAAGCAAAAGAATTTATTAGGACCAGGGGAAAGACAATTGCCCAGACACCACAATATCCAGGTTGCCCTTAAACTTGTGTGCTGAGCTCTAACAGAATTCAGGGTGACTTTTAAAGGCAAAAGTCATGAATGGGGAGGAGGATTACGTCAGGACTATAGCCAGGAGTCCTGTTCAGCAGCGATTGGCTAGACCCTATGACAAGGGGAGCAGAATGACCTCATAGTCATCTGGGGTCAGAGTGGGAGTTAGTGAGTCTGGCACACTGTAAAATTATTTTTAAGAAGGAAGAATGGGTTGATGTTCAGAGTAAATCGTTCTCTTTGGAATCTGGATGGGCTTGGGGTTATGACAAACTTTGTCCGGGTGTGTTACATTCTTCCTTCCTGCGACACAAGCTTACTTAATGAAACTTCAAGGACAGGACCAAAGGTAATCATTTTCTCCTTTTCCAGTCTGGTCTACAGGCAAATAAAGAAATATCAGAGTAAAGTCCTTTCCTGTACTTTGGGGGAGGAAGGGAACCTATCAGCTTTCTTAAAGTTTTAGTTTAATGGTGTTTTAGCATGAGTGACCCTACTTTGATCTGGCCTGTTGGGACGTAGAGAAGGAGCTTAGTTCAAGACACGGGCCTCCTCTCATTTTTATTTTACTTTTAACAATTTCTTTCTTCCACTTCCCAAGTCATGTCTTTTCACTCTCAGCCAGAACCACAGCTGGTCAGACATCGTCAGCTGGTGGGATAAACACACCTTCCTTCCGAAAGGGTCTGAGCCCCCAATAGTCCCTTCATCCCTGAGTCGGAGCCCTCAACAGTCCTGCCTCTTTATGGTTACTATGGTTTTCCACTAACCTCTACATTGGACTTGGAAGTACGAAGAGGCAGTACATTGTTTAATCTCCTAGTTAAAGATTTCTTCAACTCACTTTGCCTCTGGAAATTCTTTTTCATTCACATCCTTTTCTGATACTTATCACTTCCTCTGTTAGTTGTCCACTTCATTCCATCTGGTATTGACAACAAAAGGAACCTAGGCCCTTACTTTAATTTCCTAAATTGACACAGCACCAGTTTTTCACAGAAAATAAAAATTTACTGAGGTTTGGGAAAATATGTGTGTTTCATCGATTCCAGAGTATAAAGTATACAGAACACAATATTAAGTTCCTTCTCCTCTTAAAAGTCCATCAGTCATTCGACTCCCAGGAAATTTTTGGATGACCAACTTTTTTGGTTAGATAGTCCAGACTCCCCATGATAGACCTTGGGGACACCCTCAACCTCTGGGACCCTCTGTCTACACAAAATCACATTATAAAGTTGTATAGAAAGGACTTCCCTTTGTTATGCAGAATAATTTGGTCCTCAGACCCTTTCATATGCAAACAATATAAAAATGTCATCAAATAGTCTTTAATACAAAAGGAATAATAACTTCCCATAGTTAAATTCAGACTGCCCCAAAACAATTCAAAAGCAATCAAACTTTTTTTAAGACAGGGTCTCACTGACACCATCTTTCTGTCTCAGAATCCCAAGTCTCTGGGATTACGGATGAGCACCACTGTATCCAGCCTTCAAGTTGGACCAAGAATCAAACCTGAACCTCCCGTGTGTCCCAGAACTGCAGAGCACAACATCTTGGCAGCACAGGCCGTTGTGACTGGCCCACGGTCAGCTTCTACCTGCTGCTTCCTGAGCACAGGCATGACCAGACATTCTCACACCCACACCCAGGAGGCTGCATCCAGAGAGAGGTCAGGGCTGCTGAGTTGTCAGGACTCATCTCAGAGGCTCTTCCCACAAGGGTCTGCAACTTCAGGAGGAGTAGCAGGGAGGGCTCAGGGACATGGTGGGGCCCTGTGGGTACCTCAACCTTAAAGTGTCAGGGGAGTGATGGCAATTCAGCCCCTGAGTCTGTGCCAAGCAAGGGTGCAAACTCCCCTGGAGGGTTTGTGGGCTCCAAAGAATTGCTGAGGGGCACAGGGAGTCTCTCAGGTCCATGCACCGGGGAGCAGATGGTCAGGGACACATCTCCTGACCGAAGTGAAAAGAATGGAGAAAGAGGCCCAGAGAAGGAAGCCGGAGGGGAAGAGAAAATGTGAGACCCGTCAGTCATGTTGTAGAAAGAGACGTCCCCCCCGCTGTAGTCCACGAAAACCCCCACCCTGTGGGGAGGCCGCCTAAGGGACAGCCTATGTATTTGTTTGGTGAGGGCACAATATCCATCCTCATAATTCCCTATAAGCCACACATCTGGAGGCTGATTTTCCCCATAGACCCCCAGATTCCACTCAGTGCTGTCTGCATTCCTGATCTCCACCTCCCAGTAACAGCGTCCAGATGTGATGTCCTCATGGCTTAACACAACATGGATATCACCTGAGCCCACACAGATGTCCTTCCAGGTCACACTTGTCCTGTCCTGAGAGACAGCAAGTTTGGGATGAGCACGACTTGGATCCAGAGTGACAGCCACTGCAGAGAGAGTGACCAAGAGTTATGCAAGACCCTCCCTCACCCTATAACAAGGGCACAGAGCCACCACTCCCTCAGGGCCATTAGCTACATAACAGAGGCCTAAGTTTCCTGAAAAAAGAGCCTTGTGATTCATGAGGTTCAAGCCAATGACACTCCAAGCTGAAGGAATCAAGGGACTGATTTAGGAGTTAACTACGTCACAGAGCCTTGAGGACAGCACAGGAGCTAAAGGACATCTATTAGCCTCTGACATTAGCCATACCCACCAGTCCCAGCACTGCGACTGTCATTCTCTTCTTTTTGCACATCCTATTCTGAATGGATGGTTCCTACCTACCACCAAAGATGGTTCCAACATTTATGTCACCACAGAGAACCGAAGGAGAAGCCAGAAACCATGAGGGTCAAAGGGGGAGCACCCAGAAAGGACTCAAGTCACTCACAGGCCTGGAACTGCTCCTTCCGCCAGTCTACAAAAGAACCACACATTTTATATCAGGGGTTTGCAGGGACTAAACAGCATCAGAACCTAGACTTCTGAAATATAGTGATCCTGAAAGTTTTCAGTCTCTTTGGGAAATTCCTGGAAAAGGCAGATGACTTGGTATATTTTGGGGTTCTCCCATAGGTATTGGAATGTTTTTATTCCCCCCAGGCCATGAAAAGGGGAAGAGAAGCCACTAGCATCTTCCTTCTCCCTGAATGTGTGTATTTCGTGCTTTGAACTTTCCTTTCTCCCCCCCTAGAAGCCTCTCCATTGCCTTTTTTAAAGGTTTTTACCACACAGCATGTGCACTCATGATAGAAAGACAGTGAGAAGAAGACTGAGAAGTCACCTCCCCGGGGAGATAGCCATGCCAAAATCCCTTCTCCATTCTCCTTTTGGAGATTCATACACGCATACCCAGAAAGATCTTCAAGGACTTCAGGACTCGAACCATGGTTTACCATG